GTTAAGTCGTGCCGTTTAATTTTTCGAGATCAATGAGGTACACAAATCTGAAAGAGTTCAAATTTCTGCCTACTACTTGGATGGGGAGGCCAACACATGGTGGCAATGGGTGTCACATTTTTATAAAAATAAAGGCGAGCAAATCAGATGGCGAGATTTTGAGAAGGAGCTGATTGCCAGGTTTGGATCTAGCGAATACTTTGATTATGATGAGGCGCTGACAAGGATCCGCCAAACCGGTAGTCTACGCGATTACCAAAAGGAGTTTGAGAGGATAGCAAGCCGAGTTTGGGATTGGCCCGAAAAGGCACTAGTAGGTGCGTTTGTAGGAGGCTTAAAGGCTGAGTTGGCTGCGGAAGTACGGTAGGACAGGCCAAGGTCGACAAGGGCTGCCAGGGAAGCAGCGCGACTGCACGAGGATCATCTCGCGGCAGTGCGCAGGGCCAGACCGAGCGAGGGGCGCACGGACGTTCGGCGCGCGAGTGTCGCGGTCGACGATACGCCCCCACGGGCCGAGGTCAAGCCAACAGTCGGCGATGGTACACGCACCACTAGCAACTACCGACGGCTAACGGAGGATGAGATACAAAGGCGAAGGGAGAAAGGCTTGTGCTTTACTTGCAACGAGAAATTTGCGCCAGGCCACAAGTGCAAGGGTAAGGAAATTTTTGTGTTGGAAATTGAGGAGAAACGAGAGGAAGAAAAGCCGCAGGAAGAGTCTTGGTTGCATATGGTGAAGTGCAACAAGCGTGGTCCTTGGATGATCAGATTCACGGCCGAGATAAAGGATATGTTGTTGGAGGTCCTAGTGGACAGTGGGTCGAGTTTAAATTTCATCGACGAAAGGATAGCACAAAAGCTGAAGTTAGTACCCACAAAAGTCAAGAAGTTTGGTGTCAAGGTGGCCAATGGACATGAGCTGCAGGGAAGTCAATTATTCAAGAAGGTCCCGATAATGGCCCAGGATCACGAGCTGGAGATTGACCTTTATGCCTTACCAAATAAGGCAACAGATATTGTGTTAGGAGTACAGTGGTTGGAAACTCTTGGACCTATTACGACTGACTATAAACGAGGAAAGATGGAGTTTGGACGACCAGGAAAACGCATTAAGTTAAGAACTGAGGATCAAGGTGAAT